GCGCGTTAAATGTTCATCGAAAACACATGTGACGACTGCCACGGGGAACGGTCACGAGGTAAGTATGTGTACAAACATAGAGACCTACTCTGGGATTTCAGGATAAAATGAGAGCCATCGAAAAAGTTTCTAAATACGAGCACGTGTTTATCGATACGTCAGAGAGTTAGTATACAGAAGCAACATACTGTCAAGCATATATAATAAGTCAAGGAGTACACGTGTCTACGAATACGCGGAAATACGGATATAAACAAGAAAATTATTATCTATAAAGCTTAACTATCACCAGCTAACTGTGACAAAACAATTCCTAATATTTACAGTCAAATGATTAACGTCGCTGCTCACCTTTGTCTGTGGACCCTTGCAGGATCACCCCCGCCCCAACCCGAAGAACAGTATTAGATCGGATGAACACCGATCCACTCCTGTATACATCGCTCTCCGAACACGGTACTTTATCACAGGTTCGGGGTGGAAACGAGACAACCCCCCCGCCAGTCTCGTACGCATAGTCGAGGGCTGCCTGTATGTATACAGTGTTCAGGTGGTAGTCGTCTCCCAACGCACCGAAACACTGTACGTCCAGCACATCAATATTTTTGCTTCTCAGACACTCCAGAACCTCCGCTATAGGCTTGCGCTTAGGAGTCAATCGCTTTATCATCAATTGGTATGTGACGTACAGCATGAAGCATAACAGCAGAATGCCCGGCCGAGGCGTTATCCCCTTTGTTCGCACCCTTCGGAACATTTTAACGGTCACTAAGGAGGTCTCAGTGAAGTATTTACGTAGAAAAATAGTGATGTACTATCTACTGATTATATCGTTATGAGCGTTGCAGACTGATACAACATTATAGCTGCCTGAGTGCAAGCTTAGTCTTGTATCTTGTACACAGCTCTTGAAGCACTGCGGCCCAGCAATGAATGCTAGAATTTTCATACTTCAAGAAGCCTCCTTCGGTCTCTCTCTCTCTCTCTCTCTCTCTCTCTCTACTACTCTATCTATAGACGAGAGAGAGAGAGAGAGAGAGAGAGAGAG